CCATCCGTCACCACCGTGGCCTTCTTACACATGCACGTGTCAGGTACATAATTCGTCACAGTGGCTCAAGCACAGAAATTCAACCTACCCGGATTTTTAAATACACTCATGTTGTTTTAGGCTGAAACGCAGAAGATGGATAATTGAATAAATCGCTATTTAAATTTTCCTACTAGAGCAATCCTGATGAAAGTTGCATCACGTTGTGAGATAAAAAATAAATGACTTCAATAGGACCGTGCTTATTCCCTCAACAAAACATCCATCTTCTGAGGTGTAGGCAATTTTTTATAAAAATGTACTTATTCAGAGAAGCAGTGCACTTAGAAAAAAAGCACCAATCTCCCAGCTACATCTAACGATATACTGCCTGCCCTCAGAACATCGCTCTCCAAACCCACTGCCACTTTGGGGCCCAGGACCTGCTGCCACCATCCTCCCAGCACCCTGCAGGCAGGCTCCCTGCCATGGGGACAGGCCAGCAGCTCGTAGAGATGCTTAATTCAACTCAATTGCACTGTGGGTTAGACACAGCAGAGGTCCAAGGGCCTGGCACACCCAGCGTAGGGGCTGCAACCACCAGCGGGCCAGAAACTTCTCACAGAGGGGCGCAGGGGTTTGGGGCACAGATGCTCTTTCTGACTGCTGAATAAAGCTGCTACCCATCACCTCAACCTGCCTGCCTCCACCAGTAGGAAAGACAGATACACTCCCTCCTACCTCTGCGAAGCTCAGCTGTTGGCAGGACTGGGCAGCCTAGCTCGGGGCACAAAGCCCCAGCCTCTGAGAGAACCAGGCAGCCCAGCCCAGGGCACGTCGAGAGCCGCTCGCAGTATGCAGGGGATCAGCCTGCCTGCAGCCGCACAGATTTAAATGTGAAACAAACTGCAGCAAAACCCTTTCCAGCTGCAGCTGTGAGGAGGAGGATGCATGATTACTATTTGCAGAAAGAAGCAGAGAGCTGAACGGATCAAAAGTTAAGCCTACGGTTCTCTCATTCCTCTCCTAACCAACCTCTACAGTGCACCACAAACGCTTAATGCAGTGATAATATAGCACAGCGTGCTTAACATTTCCATTTAGTTTGCCTTAGAATGAGAACTGAAAACATGATATTAAACAGGATTCCATGCACAACTCACTCCCCAGAGCTCAAACTTCACTTTCCAGCATCACCTCGACCCACACTTCGGTGCATCAATGAATGTCGTAGCAACTGTTCATTTAAAAGATTATTTTCAGCTCCTTCAGTGATGACAGCACAGATGAGCTATTGGTGGCACTGTTAAATCTAGCTTCCTAACACCAAACTTTGTCTTGCACTGAAAATGCAAATATAGCAGAAATTAAAAAAGAAAAAAAAAAAAAAAGAAGAAAAGCCAAAACAGATGCGAATCTTGCATCAAAGGACAGAGATGCCTCTTACAATCTGAAGTACCCATCTTGGAAGATGTAAAAAAAAAAAATAAATCTCAGTGTCATTAAACTACTGAGAGCCTAAAAAAGGAGAAGAAAAGATTATCAGCGTTAAATGATACTTGTGGGACCGTTCCTCATGTTTATGCCAATCTAGCAGTTTTGAAATTCAAGTTTAAGGCTACCCTTGGAAATGGCCACAGTGAGGTAAATACAATTACTCTGTGACAGAGGGAATGTGGAAGCAAACCTCCAAACATGTAACACTGACTGAGCTGTAATACTGAGGGCACTTTACTGCAGAAAACCTTTTCCATCATTTCATCTTTTTAATTCAGTTTTTCTGGTGCCACTACTTCACACACGCAATCAAAAAAGATTTCAAGTCAAAACAGGACAGAGAAGGGGAATCTAAATGACAAGTATTCCCTTTAACGAGGATTAGTTGAGAGGTATGCGACAGTGGCAGTGAAAAAAAATATATAATTTGCATTACTTCCAGACCCACTAGCTGCCACAAAGTTTAAAAAGAGTAATCAGTTCAAGTGTACCAAAAATTAGTATTTTGTAACCAAGTCGACAGCATTTTTGAGTTTGAGGGCAGTGTGCAATTTTCTCCAGTCAAAATCATTCCACGAGTACTTCTCGGTGACCTATGTCCTAAATCATTTTCCATCCCTACGAGCGAGTGACCTCTCCATGATCTGACTCACAAAGCAAAAACATGGTCTCCCACCAGCCATTCTTTTTCAAACCACCACTGGAACTGAACTTCTCCAAAATAAACCCGGCAAAAATAGAAATGGAACAAAAGAGCACTCAGCATTCAAGAAATATTAATTAATCACCCTATCAGAGAGAAATACCAGTCCTCATATTTTAATAGTGAAACAAAGAGGTTAAGTGACACTTTCAGTGACACACAGCAAAACACTGCCAGAGCGTGGAGGAGATCTCAGAAGTTTTGCGTTGTTTTCAGCCCAGCAGCCTTGAACAAATCCCAGGCGAGCAATGCTGAATCAGGTATATTCCTCAGCACATGAAACGCTTATCCTGGTTTACCTAAACCAGTCCACAAAGCACAGCCTATGATACCGTAATAATGTAGAATACTTTGAAGTCCAATAAGAATGTTCCTAAGCAAACACATCTTCAGTCTTGAAACTTTCAGTGCATTTTATTAAAGAAAGCTTAAAAACACATAAGCAACAGATGACTCCTGAAAAAATTCTATCACTTACCTCTGGAATCAACGTCTAACTACGACACAGAGCCTGGTGCAGCTTTAAAAGTGTCATTTACTGACAAATTTAAATATCTGGAGTCGACACGCTTTGCTCTTCCTCAACTCTGCAAGCACTCGTTAGGCTGCTCCTTACTAAACCTCTGGTAGTTTTACACAAACCTGCACTGAAGAGAAAGCTACGGAACGTTTCATTTTTTTTTCCCTCTCCCAAATATTACAACCGCTTCACTAAAACAAAGGTCTCATGACAAAACGTAGGGATTCCGGAGGTTAAACTAAAAACAAAGAAAGACCCAAATATTTATACAAGCGCCCCTGCTCAGGCTCCCAGGTTAGCGTTCCAGCCTGCGCTGAGAGGCCGCACATGGAGCGGTGCACTGCGGGTCCTACATATTAAAATAAACCAGAATAGCTCATTCTGCAGCACTTGGCATGGCGCTGAGTGATCCATCAGTTGACGTGAAGGTCTCTTCACCTATTTGGGAAACGCTGCACTTGGAATGCTCCTACTTTCCCCCAACTAGTCAGTAATTTACCATTCCAAGTTGGTAAATAAATGATTTAAGTACACAGAAATGCTACCGGGCGCTGCCATTCCGTACGAATTGCACTAAAATAGAGAATTACTGCAAAACAGGCATCTTTTCTCTATGGCGTGAAATATGAAGAAATTATTATAGTCAGGAGAAACCTTAAATTAAAAATAAATACTAATTTGAACACTCAAATCTATATCTCACTCAAAAGGGTTCAGCATAGCATTAGAGAAACGGATTTAATAATTAATCATATTTTCTTTAGAGTAATATTACTAGCAGTAATGTTTTTCCTTAATGGTTTTAAATTACCTAGCGCGGGGAAAAGAGAATTAAACCTGTCAGAATCTCTTGAATTTCGCCTCTTTCCCCGAGCCGGGCCGGCCCCACACCACAGCCTCACAGCTTTGGCAGCACCACCCCGGGCCCGAGCCCGCCGAGCCACCCGACACATCCCCACTGATGTCAGCGGAGAGGTTCCCCTGAGCGGAGGGAGCTCCGGAGGGGCAGCGTGCAGCAGCGAGCGAGGGGGCAATCCTCTTTGGCAGGGGAACTTCTGCGATCCTCTCTTTTAAGGAAGTACACAAACGAGAGGTTTTAAACCCGGCTGCGGTCCCCAGGTAGCGATCGCCGCGCGCTGCCTTCCCCGTGCGGCTCGCGCAGCTCAGCGCAGACCACAGATGCTGCTACCCTAAATGTGGGGGGATTACTTCGGAATTCTTTCCCCCGAGAACGCGGCAGCGGCTCCGTTTTCGCGCAGTGCGGTGCGTGCCGCCCCCGCCGGGAGCTCGGGACCCCCCCGGGACCCGCAGCCCTCGGCCCGACACCGGCACGGGAGGAGAAGAGCCCCGGCCGCCCGCGGACCGCCCTCACCCCGCCGCAGTGCCCGCACAGGCCGGGCCCGGCCCCCCCCCCCCCCCTCCTCCCTCCCGCAGCCCCGGGCGCGCCGCGTTCTCCCCGCTCCGAAAAAATTAAACTTTCAAAACTTTGCGGTTCCCGCAGCCCTCCTGAATGGCGAGAGGCAGCCTGAAGGGCAGCCCCCGCGCAGCAGGCCGCCTCCGGAACTCTGCGGCATTATTTATTAATCCCCGGTTTTAGGGCTTTTTGTGTTTTGTTGTTGTTTTTTTTTTTTCTTTCTTTCTTTTTTTGCTGCCTTTCGCAAGGACTGTCAGCGCGGGGGGGTCCCTGTCTCCCTGTCGCGCTGTCCCGCGGCCGTCGGGGGCGGCCGGGCCGGGCCGGGAGGGACCGGGGCCCCCGGCGGAGCGCCGCGCTCGGGGCCGGGCGGAGGGGGGGGGTGCGCGTCTCCCGGCGGCGGGCGGGCAGCACACAAAGGAGAAACGTGACACGGCTCTTCACCCCGGCAGTGTGCTGGGGAGGGCTTGGAAAATAAAATAAAAGCGGCGAAAGAAAATAAAGGAGAAAAACAGAAAAATAAAAAGAAAAAAAAAGAAAGAAGAAAGAAAAACAGATGGGGGAGCGGGGCGAGCCGCCTCGGGAGCGCTCTCTGGAAGACCCCGCACGGAAGCCTACAGGTTGTTTGCCGGGCTCCCGTCGCGCTGCCGCCCTGGGACGCGCGGGGACACCCGGCGGCGGCACGGCCCGGCCCGGCCCGGCCGGCAGCGAACCCGGCGCGACGGGGCTGACACATGTCACCGCGGGGCCGCCGCCAAACTTTCCCGCGGCGGCGGCGGCAAGTCAGTGAGCGGCGGAGGCGGGGGGAGAGGAGAGTCACACACCGGAGCGAGGGGGGAGGAGGGGACGGGTGTGTGCGAGAGGGGGTGGGGGGGGGGGGGTGCACTTACCGGGAGGAGACACCGTGCGGGGCGTCCCGGCGAGCTGACACCGAGAGAAAGGGCGAGCGGAGCGCCGCGCACATGCAAAGTCTCTGCGGGCGGAGCCGCCGCCGCCGCCGGGACGCGCGGGCCGGGAGCGGGGCGGGGGGGGGGCGGCGGGGCCGGGAGCGGGCGCGGGGCGGCGGCGGGGCCGGGCGGCCTCCCGCGGGCTGGCGCTGCCTGGCGCCGGCGTGCGGGTCTGGCTGTGTGCGGAGTGTGCCGCTGTGTGTATGTGTTTTGTTGGGAATGCAAAAAAAAAAAAAAAAGAGAGGAAGAAAAAAAAAAAAAAACCCGCTCCACACACACCGACTCCTTCGGAGGAAAGGGGAGTGAGGAGGGAGCCCTCACATGATCGCCAAGTAGCCTGCACAGAAGTGCTAATAATGCGCGGGGGGCGGCGCAGGGGGGAGGATGGCAAGAGCGGAAAGTGCCGCGGGACGCGCCGTGCCGTGCCGTGCCCCGCTCCGCGCCCCCCCGGCCCGTGCCCGCTCCACCTGCTGCCAGCTCCCCCCTCCCCGCCCCCTCTCTCTCCCTCCCACTTCCCCCCCTTTTTGCTCCGTTAGACACAACGAGTTTAGCAGACGGGGAGAGAAAACAAAGCCGTGCGTTGTGCCGGCGCTGCCGACGGTCTGCGGCCCGCTGCCCGCCCTCGGGGTGGGAGACACGCGTGGGAGGCGGATGCGGGCCGGCAGTCCGACGCTCCGCGAAACTTTCTCCGCGCGAGGCCCGGGCTGCCGCTGCCCCTTCCCGGCCCCTGCCCGGCAGTTCGGGCCGTACGGCGGGGCCGCGGCCGGGGCCGGGAGGGGGCCGTGGCGGCTGCGGGCCCGGCCAATGGGGGCGAGGCTGGGTTCGCGAGGTGAAAGTTCACCGCCGGGGCAGGCTCGCCGCCGCCGCGGCTGCCGATGGGTGGTCGTAAAATATATTTATTTGCTACTTGCAACTCTTTTGTGTTCGCCCCCCCTCCCCTCCCCGCCCGTACACCTCCTCGCTTCTCCCGCCCCGTTGCCGCTTCGCTTCCACCGCACTTTGAGAGCGCAACGGTTGCGGGTGCCACCCGCCGAGCCCGCTGCGGGGCCGCAAGGATGCGGAGCGCGGGGACCGCGGGCAGCCGCTCCCCGCCGCCCTCCGACGGCTGCGGGCGGGGGAGAACCGAGCCGCGCGCCCCGCGCTCCGCGCCGTCCGCAAACGAAATCGGCCGCCACGGGCTCCGCTCGGCCCCGAACCCGCCGCCCTCCTACCGACGGGCGGCGGCAGCTCTCCTGGCTGCGGACCGCGCCGTGCCCCGCACTTGCTGGAGGGAGCGCCCTGACCGGTCCCGACGCGCTGTCTTTGCGAGCGGTGCGAAATCCGCTTCGCAGCGGAGCGGCCTCCGCCGAGAGCCGCGCTGTGCGGTGCGCGATAATGCGGGGGGAACAACGCGGGGTGAGCACTGCGCGGGGTGAGCGCTCCGCGAACAAACACTTCTCCCACTCTTTATTTTCACAGCAGCGATCGGGGCGTAAAATGCAACTTGGCCTCCTAAATGAACAAGGCGCGGATTATTTGTTCCTATTTACGGTTCGAGATTTCATCTGCGCGTTTGTATTGTATTTCTCGCTTCAAATAAACCGCTCCGAAGCCGTCTTCTCTTAATTAATTTAATGCATTTTCCCAGCGCAGCTGGCGGCGCGAGATGCCCGTCTCGTTGCCGTTTCCATCAGCGCTGCATGCAAACGGCGCCGGAGCATGAACAGAATCCTGTCTCGCCCTCCGTCCGCTCCTTACCGCCCCGCGCAGCGCCCGGCACAGTTCGGGCAGAGAGGAATGCGGGATTTAACCGGAGTCACCTCGAAGAGAACCTGTACTGCAACATCAAAGCGATCGGAGACGCCACAAAATTGGTGGAGTTACACCACCATCTGTCGTTAAGCCTCGGGACTACAAAAGTTCAGACGGATCATAAATCTTAATGAGAGCCGGCAACTTTTCCTGTCTCTCCGCAGCTCTGCCCCGTAACAGCATCGAGCCGGAGCCCCTCGCCGCTGTGCCCAGCCTATGCTGGGGGCTCCGGGCAGAGCTCTTGGGGGCCCTTGCACGTCCTCCCGCCCTCGGGAGGCTGCGTTTGGTGCAAGGCAGATGTGTACCCAGCAGTTCAAACTGTAATACATAAAACTCAGAGTTCTTCTCTTCAGGCTTCCAGTTGTATAATTCAGTTTGTTCCATGATGCGTATGCGTCCTACCACAGCATCGGGTTCTGAAAAGGCATATACAAAAACTACACCTTGGAATAACACAATGAAGAAGCTGATGTCCCACTGTTACCTGCCAATGCCTCTTAAAAGAGAATGATCTGTATGCAAACTGTTGGAGGAACCATGAAGTGCTTTGGCATCACCCAAAGCATGCAGAAACCAGCTGGGCATGTGTTAAATGTGAGAGCTGCCCCTGGGCTCCTGCTCTTTCTCACTTCCTCAGCCTAAGGCTACAGATTGCTCATTTGCCATCATTACCAAAGAACCAAGACAGAAGATGTGTTTTCTTTAGGATTTCCTGGATATTCATTCTGTTTCAAAAATCAGCTGCTACTTGGAGCAGGCTGGGAAGGGAACTGCAGGCTACCTGTGGCACACATGGAATCCTACAAGGAAAACCAGCACATTTATCACTGAGGCATGAGACATTCAGTAAGTATTGATCCGAATGGGTTTCAGTGTGGAGTGTTTGATGACTAGAAGTCAACTTTCAGATTGTTTTTCTGCAGCTGGGGAAGTTCATGGCTTTTTGCCTGTTTGTGCTAAACGTTGTGCAAGTGCCCACTGTCCTCACCCCGCAATTGGTGTTCAGCACTTCCCCATGCTTGGGCTGTTGGTAGGGGAAGATAGCAACTTCAGGCACCTTTAACCAGTCCTTTCTCAGCCCGATGCCTCATAACAGGGAAACTCCACCTCCATCCATACTTGCAGGAACACCACCTCTCCACATTTCTTGAACAGCTCCAGGGACAGTGACTCCAACACCTCTCTAGGCAGCCATTCCAGTGCCTCAGCACTCTTTCTGAGAAGAAGTGTTTCCTAACACCCAACCTGAACATCTCCTGGTGCAACTTGAGATCATTACCTCTCATCCAGAACATGCTCTGCATTGAAAATCACTGCCCAAAAATGAAGAATTGCACTGTGAAAGTCTTCTCTTGATTGTTCTCACATAGACAAAAAAAAAAAAAAAAAAAAAAAGAAAGTGCAAATCTTCAGTGGATTCATGTGTTTGAAAAATATGGCAGAGTTTTTGACCTCACATTTTACATCTATATATGAAGGATTTACCTGCAGAATGTTCTGGTTTCTCTTTCTATTTTGTGTAGCCAGGCTTGGAGAAACACACCACGCTGACCTTCAGATAAAAGTCCCACTCCCTAACATTTAGTTGTGTATGTGAAAGTCTTGTGTAGTCACAGCTGAGGAAAGTTTTCAGACTGAAGATTTTCCTAATCATCAGCTGGGGAACAGTGTCACAAACACACACAGATGCGTGGTTTTGCCTGAGTCCCTCAGACAGCTCATCACTGTTGGAAAGTTTGGCATCTGATGTGTAAGGTTTAAATCCCACAAAAGGTGTTTCACCTAAATCCAAGCTGCAATCTGCAAAATCCTTGTTTAGCCTCATGTGAAGAGGTAACATTGGTGAGGAAGCCCTATAACACCTTTAGCTCCTAAAATATCACTTCTTCTCAAATAACAACTGACATGGCAGAGCTGAAAACCTGTCTTATTTCCTGAGCCAAATCAGCTCCCTAAAACTACACATCCTCTGTAGAGTTGCACATTAATTTGTAACTAGGTGAAATGCTCACCAGTCCCTATAGCCCGGCTGACCACAGCCTCCCCTTCTTCACTCCCTAGGTAGTAGTGTAATATATTCTAATGTAACGTAATGGCACTGCTCACACTGCCCCAGCCACCTCTAGCCCTTTTTTGGCAAGGTGACACTGCATCCCTGTGCTGGGCTAACTGAAACCAAGCAGTGCTGGGAGCTGGTTGATGGCTTAGGCCCAAGCTGAGTCTAGAAAGAAATTAGGATAGCATAATCATCTATTTATTGTGTTTAATAAATATATGCAGCCACTGCAAGATAATACAAAACTAGAAGATACTGTATTCTTAAAATATAGGTGAGAACACCTGCTTCCCTTATGAAACAGACCACATAGCTCAGCAAAAGTCATGCAGAAATGTCACTGCCGTGGGCTACACAGCAGTGGAAGTGCCACCTCCAGACAAGCTGCTTCAGCCCCACTCACAACAAGTGAGTGTGTGGCTGTAGAAGAAGTGAGGGGCTTCTTGCCACAAGGCAGCACAAGGCCTCTCACACTTGTCCCATGTTCATGGATGGTGAGTTACTGTCACAGGATGGAAATCCCTCTGCCAGAACCTGATGTCTGTGAGGAGAACACACATGGTTCAGCTTCACAGAAGAAAACATGACTGATTTTGTTTGCTTCCAACCCCAAAAGTGCTTTTCAGTACTGGTATTAAAATATAATTTCATGATACCAGAAGAGCACAGCATTTCTAGTTCTTTAATAAAAATTTAAGCAAAAAATTCTTACATCTAGGGAAATATGTTTAGTAACCAAAGAGCAATTACAGCTCTATCAGGAAATTGCTTTACTTCGGTACCACAGGCACAAGGACCACATTACAGATGCAAAATTGCATTCAGCTTCATGGCATTTACACATCTGTAACAACATTCCTGGCGTGCTGGAAATTTTGTCAGCGTTTCGGGTTAGGGGACAGAGCTGTCTTTTTAGAAACCATTTCTGTGTCATACACACAAATTAACATGTATTAAGTAGACATCTTTCCACCCACAAGCACTTGTGTAGAATTCATGGGTTTGTGAAGTAAATTGAAAACAGACTGTGGATGTTAACAATATGGTTAGATACAGGAGTTCCATGCCAATTGAACAGTGAATAAACAACCCTCCTTTTTAGGTTTATTTAATAGGACTGTGGGAACTCAACCTCAGAATACATATTTTAAGGCAATAGAGGTAATTCCTTGTAGATGTGAATTACAGAGTACTGTGATACAGAGGCAGCAAAAT